TGTCTGATATAATGCCAGACAATGAACCCCTCAGGTCAGAAGGCACTCAAAATATGACTGGGAAAGAGCTATGAGTTGACCTTAATGACATGGGTGAAGTAAACCTTTTTGGGACCTCCATTTGCTGATAGGGCCTCAAAATGGGAAGGAACAGCTGCAAACATCCATTGATCATCAGAACATGGAATGTACAAAGTATGAATCTAGGAAAATTGGAAGTTGTCAAAAATGAAATGGAACACATAAGGATTGATATCCTGGGCATTATGAAATGGACTGGTTTTGACCATTTTGAATCAAATACTATGTGATCTACTATGCTGGGATTTACGAATTGAAGAGGAGAATGGTATGGCATTCATTGTCAGAAAGAATGTTTCAAGATCTATCCTGAAGTACAATGCTGTCAGTGATAGGACAATATCCATATACCTACAAAGAAGACCAGTTAATACTACTATTATTGAAATTTATGCACCAACCACTAAAGCCAAAGATGAGGAAATTGAAGATTTTTACCAACTTCTGTAGTCTGAAATGGACCAAACATGCAATCAAGACGTATTATTGGTTATTACTTGTGATTGGAAGGCAAAAGTTGGAAAAGAAGATTCATTGGTAGTTGGAAAATACAGCCTTGGTGATAGAAATGATGCTCAAGATTATATGATAGAATTTTGCAAGACCAATGACTTATTCATTGCAAATACCTTTTTGCAACATGAACAATGGCTATACACATGGACTTTGCCAGGTAGAATACACAGGAATCAGATTGATTACGTCTGTGGAAAGAGGCAATGAGGAAGCTCAATATTTTTACCCAAAACAAGGCCAGGAGCTGACTGTGGAACAGACTACCAATTGCTCATATGCAAATTCAAGTTGAAGCTGAAAAAACTAAAACAAGTCCACAAGAGCCAAAATATGACCTTGAATGTATCCCACCCGAATTTAGAGACTATCTGAAGAATAGATTCAATGCATTGAACACCAATGATGGAAAATCAGATGAATGGTGGGATGACATCAAGAACATCATACAGGAATAAAGCAAAATGTCATTAAATAGACAGGAAAGGAAGACAAGACCAAAATGGATGTCAGAAGACACTCTGAAACTTGCTTTTGAATGGAGAGTAGCTAAAACAAATGGAAGAAATGACAAGATAAAAGAGCTGAACAGAAGATTGCAAAGAACAGCTGAATACAAAGTCAGTTATTATAATGAAATGTGAAAAGACCTGGAGTTAGAAAACCAAAAGGGAAGCACACTCTTGACATTTCTTAAGCTGAAAGAACTGAAGAAAAAATTCAAGCCTAGAGTTGCAATATTGAAAGATTCTACAGGAAAAATATTGAATGCTGCAGGAAGCATCAAGAGAAGATGGAGGGAATACAGAGTCACGGTACCAAAAAGAATTAGTTGATGTCTAGCTATTTCAGGAGGTGATATATTATCAGGAACCAGTGGTACTGAAGGAAGAAGTCAAAGCTGCAGTGAAGAAATTGGCAAAAAACAAGGCTCCAGGAATTGATGGGATACCCTCTGAGATCATTCAACAAAGTTATCCCAGGCTGGAGGCACTTACTCCTCATATATGCCAAGTAATTTGGAAGACAGCTACCTGGCCAATTGACTGGAAGAGATCCATATTTATACCCATTCCAAAGAAAGGTGAGTCAACAGATTGTGGGAATTGTTGAAAAATATTGTTAATATCACACACAAGTAAAATTTTGGAAAGATAATTAAAAGACGATTGCAGCAGTAGATTGACAGAGAACTTGCAGAAATGCAAGCTGGATTCAGAAGAGGATGTGGAATGAGGGATATCATTGCTGATGTCAGATGGATCTTGGCTGAAAGCAAAGAATACCAGAAAGATGTTTACTTGTGTTTTATTGGATATGCAAAAGCATTTGATTGTGTGGATCATAACAAATTATGATAACATTGCAAAGAATGGGGATTTCACAACACTTAATTGTGGTTATGAGGAACCTGTGTATAGACCAGAAGGCTGTCATTTGAACAGAACAAGGGGATATTGCATGGTTTAAAATCAGGAAGGGTGTGCCTCAGGATTGTATCCTTTCACCATACTTACTCAGTCTGTAGGAGCTCTGGTGGCATACTGCCTAAGGCATTGACTGCTAACCAGAAGGCCAGCAGTTCAAACCCACCAGCCACTCCTGGGAAGGAAGACTAGGCAATCTACTTCCATAGAGATACCACCTTGGAAACCCAAGTAGGGATCACTATGAGTCGGAACTGACTCGATGGCAGTCAGTTTGGTTTTGGTATTTAATCTGTATACTGAGTAAATAATTCAAGAAGCTGGACTATATGAAGGAGAATGTGACACCAGGGCTGGAGGAAGACTCATTAACAACTTGCGATATGCAGATGACACAACCTTACTTGCTGAAAGTGAAGATAACATGAAGCACTTACTGATGAAGATTAAAGACTACAGTTTGCAGAATGGATTATACCTCAAGATAAATATTTGCACAACTGGAACAATAAGCAGCGTCAGGATAAACAGAGAAAAGATTGAAGTTGTCAAAGATTTCATAGTACTTGGACCCACAATCAATACCAGTGGAACCAGCACTCGAGAATGAGAGTCATATTGCACTGGGCAAATCTGCTACAGAAGACCTCTTTAAAGTGCTGAAGAGCAAGGATGTCACTTTGAAGACTAAGGTGAGCCTAATTCAAGCCATGGTGTTTTTAGCAGCCTCACATGTATGGGAAAGCTGGACAGTGAATAAGGAAGATTGAAGAAGAGTTGATGCTTTTGAGTTGTGGTGTTGGTGAAGAATACTGAAAGTACCATGGACTGCCAGAAGAATGAACAAATGTGTCCTGGAAGAAGTTCAGCTGGAATGCTCCTTAGAAGTGAGAATGGCCAGACTTCATCTCACTTACTTTGGTCATGTTGTCAGAAGGGAACATTCCCTGAAGAAGGATGTTATGTTTGGTAATGTGAAGGGTTAGTGAAAAAGGGGAAGACCTGCAACGAGATGGATTGACCCCGTGGCCACAACGATGGGCTCAGGTATAGCAAGGATTGTGAGGATGGTGCAGGACTGGGCAGTGTTTCATTCTGTTGTACATAGGGTTGCTGTAAGTCAGAGCCAACTAGATGGCAGCTATAAACAACAGCAGTAAGCAGTCTCACACAGTGTTGGTAGGAGTGCAAAATGGAAAAACCTCTATAGAAGAAAATTTAGCAATATCTGTCAATACCTTTGACACAACAGTCCTGCTTCTTGGAATTTATCCCATTGATAAATTGCAAATACACAACAAACGTGTAAGGTCACTTCTTGTAGCATTATTTGTATCTGCACAATTGGAAACAACCAAAATATCCATCAATAGGGGACTGGTAAAATAAATTATCGTATAGCAATCCAAAGGAGTACTGTACAACTGTTAATAAGAATGGCTGAAATTTATACTTCTTGATATGGAACAATTTATAAGAGACATTATTAAGTAGAAAAAAGCAAGGTGCAGAACAATGTATATGGCATGCTGCCTACCATTTATGTTTTTGAAATATGTACATTCATACATGCTTAGAGATCTCTGGAAGGAAATATAATAAATTATAATAGTGGTTGCCTTAGGGATAGAGCAGGAGCTCTGGTAGTGTAGTGGTTAAAGCATTTGGCTACTAACCAAAAGGTCAGTATTTCAAACACACCAGCTGCTTCACAGAAGAAAGATAAAGCAGTCTGCTTCTGTAAAGATTTACAGCCTTGGAAATCCAGGGGGGGTAGCTGTGAGTCACAGTTGACTCAAAGGCAATGAGTTTGGGTTTTTTTTTTTTTTTTTTGGCTTTAGGGCTAGAGAACTGAAGCATTGGTAAAGGAGTAGGAGAGAGACTTAAATTTTCACCATAAATTTGTGGTGTTTGAATATTATGTTGTATACGTGAAAAAAATTAAAATCTTTTAAACATTCAATAACCAGCATCAAAGAAGACATATATAATAATACAAAAATTATAGCATGCTAGGGTTAGAAGAACCCTTTGAGATTGGAAAACTGAGTCTGAGAGAGGACAAGATTTGCTCAAAAGGAAGAAAATCCATTTTCTTACAGCTTTAGCTACTACTAATCCTTCAAGGATATCAACTAAAAGTCAGTGTGTACCTCCATCTCCTTTTCAAATCTCACCTTTGCCTGTCAGAAAGGATCTAGTCTGAAACTTGGATGTAGGGGCTAGATGACAGCTTGGGGAGGCAGTGTCATTTCTGCTGGGAGCAGCAATGACTCTCAGGTTCTTCAGAGTATACTTGACCTTTGGCTTTTTCTCCGCATACGCAAGGTTGACTTTCACTTTGCTCCCAGAGCACTGCAGGGTAGCTAGAGTCTGATTTTGAATGAACGTGGCCCTTTTGACTTCTGCCTGGGCTTCTGGAAGGAGAAAAGTCAGATAGAAAAGTGAAGCAGATTCTTAATCTGAACAGTGCCAACTAAACTACTTCCACTTATGACCCTGTTAAACTCCACTGCTGTGCTTTCTCTTCTTTTTAGTTCACTTCTTCAGCATGTGTTTTTGGTACTAAATATATGAGCCTAACTTTTCCTCCTTCCTCGCATGGGGTTCCATAGAAATGGATGACTGCCATGAATTTAGCACAGAGAAATGCTCACAGATTGTTTAGTTTAATGCAGAGGGTTGAGTGCTGGCTCCTTCTCTCTCTTCACCCCCATCTGTTTGGTTTATATAGTCATGCCTTTGGTGATAGTAGTTAATTCAAAAGTTCATTTCCAGAAAGCCTCCTTGGGGGATGGAGGGGATACGTATCTTTAAAACAAGATAGTTTGGACCTGGACTTGAAGGTGAGGAGACAAAGCATCTTTTAAAGGTGAAATTCCTTGGAATGGCAATTTAATTTTCCAGTACGGGCCCATTCCCTACCTTGTATTAACATATCCCTGATGTTTCTCACATCCTTTGGGGAGAGCCCAGGCAGCAGTTCCACTTGGCAGCTGCTCTCTCTGAGTTCTGAGGTATGTAGAAAGCAGAAAGATCAGGTTTTCCTGCGTACTTATTCTTTAGAATTCTGGGCATTGAAGTGGGAGATACAAAAGAATACAGTCCCTTCTCATACAACTTGTAATCTGATTAGGAGGATGAAACTTCCCCAAAAAAGACTTTAAAATACACAGCCAAATACACACAAGTAGGAGTTAGCCTGGTATGAAGAAAAAGAGTACCAATGTATTTCCTTTAGGAGAAAGAAAGGTGAAATAGAATTAAGTGAAGTTAAAAAAGACTAAGCAACCCATTCTCCCAGACACTACTTATTTTCTCTTCTCCTTCATGTTCTGTCTGCCTTTTGCTATTAAAGAAACCTTTTGTATATTAATAATATATAAGTTTATTTAGTGTGAGATACCCAACTATCTCTATAGGTTTCCACTGGACCACAGGTCATAGTTATTTATGCTTTTTGACACACACAACTCACAAGGGTGTTTTGACTTTTCATCATTTGTTAAATTTATTACTGGTGCACATTATGCCATTTGACTTTAACTCTGATTAGCTAGTTTTAGAGATGAGATGTTTTAGGACACTTAGAAAAATAATGTTTTAAATAAACAGTTATAAACAAGCAGCAAATGGTGCCATCCCCCACCCACTCTTTCCCTCAGCTCTCCCCACCCAACAGCATCCCCATCTGACAATTTGGATGTATGTATCACCTTAAAAAGTGAAGACAACATCTTATGATGGGTTATGAATTTGAGAGCCCTGGATGATGACAGTACTGAGAGGACTTCTAATGTTAACTATATGAATGAGACAGAAGAATGCATCACATTCTCTGAGGACCTCTCACCATAAAACAAATAGCTGTCTTTCTGGCTTGAGTAAATTGCGGTCCTGATTAGAGGTAAGAGGACACACGGGATGATATCTGGAAAGCATCACCTTCTGGGTATTGGCTATGTCTGTCTGGCAGAAGAGAATTTTCTAGGCTATCAGGCTAGAGAAGTACATACCTTTCTTGTTGACATTGTAGGATGCAATGATTAGGCTGAAGACCAAGATGGTATCCATGTTAGCTTGAGCACAGCATACTCCTTGCAGAGACAGTAAGTTGCTAATCTGTCACAGCTTCTTATAGCCCACTCTCTAGCTGCTTTCACTATCCTGGAACCAAGTTTGACTATGGGAGAGTCTGGTTCCACCCTGATTATTTTTCCTTGTTTCCTGAAGATCCAGGAATAGAGCTGATTGGAGAGAGGACCAAGTCTGTTTATTAATGATTGACTCAGAAGCTCTTCCCCTGACTTCATTGCTGTGCCAACAGAGAGATCTGCAATCACCTAGAGGTTTCTCCAGCAGAAAGGGCATTAACACTCAGCGATATGCTTTATAAATACTTGCTGAGAGACACGTAGACATTCACATGCATGCTCACTGACACGGGCATATAGATTTACACATCAACATAAAGAGATATGCAGACTTTTATTAAAGGATGTGATCTGTAGAATAGAGCATGCAGCTAGGACCCAATGACTCAGTGAGTTACACTGGAGAGCGTGGAACTAGGTATTCATAGAGTTGGGTTCTAATATAGACCCTGTTAATGGTATCACCTTGGGGAAATTACTTGACCTCTCTGGATTTCAGTTTTCTCCTCTGTAAATTGAGAGTTCCAACCAAATGATCTCGAGAATTTATTCATAATTGTACATATAAACTCCATTATCACAGGCATACCTGTCTAGGTTTACACACTTTCACAGTGTCCTGAATACTGAAGTGGACATGACTATTGGGCTGAGAGGTCAGGAAGAGTGAGACTGAAGTTTGGGAAGGTTTTCTTAGATAACTATTGTTGAAGATTTTTCTAAAATTTTATCTTTTATTAAAGATACATCTGCGGTGGTTATGTTTTTGTGTCAACTTGGCTGGGCCTAGTTGAGTGGCCGGACAGCTGGTGGTAGTTATTCCCCATGATGAGACTGGCAATCAACTCCATGGTGGGATCTACCATAAGCAGCTGAGTAGCTGCCTTTGGGATGTGGTCTGCTTCCTGTATTTAAGGAGAAGCATTGGGAGTGGTCTCTAGCCTATGGCACGCTTGGACCCTGCACGTAGCCGTGTCGTTGCTTAGCAGCCTGCCATGCTCTGCCGACTTTGGGACTTACAATGGACTTAAGTTAATGGCCTGCTATGTGGTTTGGTAACATCAGGACTGTGCCTTTTTATTTGTCGACCTTGGGGCTTCTCAGTCTCAGCATCCAGCAGCTGTCTGAGTGAAGAAACGCCTCTAGCTCCAGTGGGCCGGGAACAGGAGGCAGAGCTGGACCCCAAGGTTGAGAGGCTTTCACCCAGCCCCTAGAGCCTGGCACTTTGAATTTGGACTTAAAGCCTCCAAATTGTTAAGAATAAACTCCTGTTTGTTAAGGCCATCCCATTTGTGGTATGTTTCTTGTCAGAGCAGCACTAGGTAACCAGAACAACATCTAATGTAATATTCTGTAGACTTTGTGAAAGCATAGCTAGGTGGATCATAAAGTAGAAATGAAGACCTACTAAGTTCCTTTGTCTTAGTCCAGAGCCTCACCAGTTTCTGCCCATTGTAAATGTACTCCCATTAGGGCCAACGTGAGATTGACTGTGAGAAGGTTCTGGAAGCTGAAACTCTCCTTGATAATGATGCAGAGTAACTTAGTTCAAAGGACTTTCATGAAGGAGTTCATGAGATATAAGTCAAATCATATTCTAAATACCTCACTGTTTCCTGACATTTTAATACAGCTTGAAATCTGGCTAAATTGAGCATCAAAGAACATCTTTGTAGGAAATGGAAAGGGAAAAGATGTCATTGATGGACAACATGCTCCCTGAAATGTGGAAGAGGAGAGAAAATGCCAGACATCCAGCCCTAGTACCTTTCATTCATTAATTCACTCAACAAATATTTATTGAGGGCATACTGTGTGCCAGACACTATTCTGTTGTTGTTGTTAAGTGCCATCGAGTCATTTCCGACTCATAGCGACCCCATGCACAGCAGAATGAAACACTGCCCGATCCTGCGCCAGCCCCACAATCCCTGCTATACTTGAGTCCATCATCGCAGCCACCATGTCAATCCATCTCGTTGAAGGCCTCCTTCTCTTTCATCGACCCTCCACCCTACCAAGCATGACATCCTTCTCCAGGGAATGGTCCCTTCTTACAACATGACTAAAATAGGTGAGACGAAGTCTGGCCATTCTTGCTTCCAAGGAGCATTCTGGCTGCATTTCCTCCAGGACATATCTGTTAGTTCTTTTAGCAGTCCACGGTACTTTCAGCATTCTTCGCCAGCACCACAGCTCAAAAGCATCAACTCTTCTTCGGTCTTTCTTATTCATTGTCCAGCTCTCACATGCATACGAGGTGATTGGAAATAGCATGGCTTGTGTCAGGCGCACCTTAGTCCTCAAGGAGATATCCTTGCTCCTCAGCACTTGAAACAGTTCCTTCGCAGTTGACTTTCCCGATGCTACACATCATCTAATGTCCTGACTGCTGCTTCTGTTGGCATTGATTGCAGAACCAAGCAACGTGAATTCCTTGACAACCTCAATCTTCTCTCCATTGATTGTGATGCTGCTCATTGGTCCAGTTGTGAGGATTTTTGTTTTCTTTATATTGAGACGTAATCCATACTGCAGACTGTATTCTTCAACCTTCATAAGCAGGTGCCTTAAGTCATCCTCACAAAAGAAAGACACTATTCTATCAGTTAGAAAAACAAAGTCCATGTCCTCATAGAACAATAGGAAGCAGACTATAAACATAGTTGAAAATAAAACAGTGTAGAAGGGCACATAACAAATAGTATACAAATATGTAAGATAATTATAGATTGTAATAGTTGCCATAAAGAAATCAACAGAGTGATGAGATGAAGGATTATGTACTCTAATGTAATATTACATTAGAGGCCACTTTAAATAGCATGGGGAGGGACGACCTCTCTGAAGAGGTAATATCTGAGCTAAGAAAACCAGGAGAGTGGATGTCACAGGAGCCGAAAGAGGAGAGGATTTCGAGGAAGGGGTGGTCTGAAAGATTGTTGTAATGAGGACAGAATATCCATGGGGTTTGACAGTTTTGCTAGGACCAGGCTTAGTAGAACGGAGGAAGTAGGAGTAGGACAAAAGGGAATTTGAGGTAAAGTACTGTAGATCAAATTTTCAAGAAGTTTTTCTGTAAAAGGAGCAGAACAGTGGGGACAGCGACTAGTGGGGACATATGTGCTTCAAATCTTCATTAATCAGAGTGCCTTTTCCCCTACTACAGTTTCCTGTAGTTGATTCTGTTAGGTGGATAGGGCAGAACAAAGGGGCTCCATTTCCTTCCCTGGGTTTCGTGTTTTTGCTTACTATTTCCTTAACATCATTTTCTGCTCCCCTAATATATCAGGTACATTTCCCCTCTCTATTTGAAATTTTCTGTAGATTAGTTTCTAGATGTCACATTATAGTGCTGCCACCCTGGTGCCAGGGTAGGGAAGGATCTGAGGGGTTGCTATTGTCATTCTCTGTCACAAGGTGGCAGAAGAGCTCACTTTTCACAAAAGAGACCTTTGTACTTGACTGAAGACTAAGATCCTTTATCTACTTTTAGATCCTTCCCTTTTCCTTTGTGACTCAAGAGGCTCAAAAGTCAGCCTACATGTTGGGACAGACCATACTTGGGGGCACAGAGAAAAAGACCCAGAACTATTTCTTTACTACTAGATATTTGGACTGGTTTTCTAAGTGTTTGGGACATCTTGTGGAGGAGAGGATCTCCCTTCCCCACAAAAACATGTTGTTGTTATTGTTGTTATGTGCCGTCAAGTGGGCCCCGACTCATAGAGACCCCTCCTTGGGTTTCCAAGGCAGTATCACTACAGAAGTAGGATTGCCCAACCTTCCTTCCAAGGAGTGGCTGGTGGGTTTGAACCGCTAGTCTTCTGGTTAGCAGTCAAGTGCCTTAGACACTATGCCACCAGAGCTCCTACAAAAACATAAGGAAGAAAAAAAGAGCTATAGCAAAAGCATGTGTGCAGTTTAGAGATACCTCTAGAACAGAGTGGGAAACTAGGACTGAGAGGATGAATCAGCCTGGGTCTGTGGGAGGAGCACTTGACAGGAAGCCAAGAGGCCTACCTGTGTTCTAGATTAGGCTCTGTCATTGACTGAATCACTTTGAATAAGTCACTTAACTTACCTGGGCCTCTGTTTTGCCTTCTTTAATGAGGCACTTGGTCACGAATTAGCTTCAAAGGCCTCTTCCTGCTCTAAAATGATTATCTTAACTCCTGTGAAGAGTTATCACACTCTGCTACTCATTCTTTCAAGGGTGTATGACTTTTGTTCATTTGTTTTGGTTTATTTTAATTTATTTTTAAATTGTAGAATATATCATGCATACAGAAGAGTATATAGAACATAAGTATATTTTAAATAATAAGAATAACAATAATATGAATACTATGTAACTGTTACCCAAATTAAGAAATTGAACATTGCTTATATCTTAGAAGCCTTTCAGGCATAGACACTGTCCTGATTTTTGCAGTCATTATTTTACTTTTTAAAAATAGTGAATTATCTATGTATATATCACTAAATCAAACCGAACTCACTGTCATTGAGTCAATTCTGACTCACAGTGACCCCCATTGGGTGTCTGAGGTGGTAAATCTTTATGGAAGTAGATCACCCCATCTTCCTTCTGCAGAGTGGCTGATGGGTTTAAAACACCAACCTTATGTTTAGCAGTCAAATGCCTTAGGTACTGCACCACCAGAGCTCCTTGTGTGTATCACTAGTCAACATTTTTAGCTTTATTTTGTTTTGCCTAGTTTTGAACTTCATATAAATGGAATGATACTCTATGTATGTTTAAATTAAAACACTAACGCAAAGTGAGACACCTTGGTAACTAGCACTGTAGAATTCCCCTCATGTCTTCTCTCAGTCACTGTTCACCATCAGGAGTAACTATTATCCAGACTTCTAACACTAACACCGCAAATGAATTTTACCTGTTTTTGAACTTTG